CAGGACATCTTTCTCCAGCTATGATGAAATGTGATGGAATCAGCTGTCAGTTACAAGTCCAATGTCTCCAAGATGTATGTGTACAACCTATTGTGCTCACCTGTCTAAAAGGCCAAATGAAGGACTGGGTAGGAGGAGTAGAAATGCAGGTTGGGCAGAGCATGGACCCACATGCACTGGGCCAGAAGACATGCTTGGCAAAGATTTCTGATCTCTGTCCTGGTGCTTATGAATTATTGCAAGATAACAACTCCCGTCAGGCAGCTTTCGAATGGAGCCTTATTCCGCTTTTCACTTTCCAGTCATTTGTTATAAAAACAAAGAGGTGAGGGGAAAATATTAGCATGGAGAATATAGGTTGAAAGTGAGAGAGGAGCCATAGAGAAAGGCTACTGTTTAATAATAATCAATCTTTAATGAGCACTTTCTATGTGCCAGAAACTTTATGAGTATATCTTCTTGAAACATCCCTATAAAATAGAGTACTAGTATTCCCATTTTAAAGATGAGTTAACTGAAGTACAGAGAGATTAAGTAACTTGCCTAAAGTTACACAGCTTCTAGGTGGAAGACCTGGAATTTGAACTTAGGTCTAGACCAGTGGTTCCCATTGTGGGGCACATGCCCCACGGGGGGTGGGGGAGGGCAATTTGATTTTTAAGGGAAGCAATTAGAGAATGTGTTATTAACAGTAAATTGTTTGCATTTCTTATGGTTCTAGGGACCTCATATACAGTATATAAATATGTATTGTGACATATTTATACATTTCAGTTCTCTATTATATGTTTGAAACTTTATTTGCTATTTTTTCATATCACTTCATATTATTTTTAAAAATAATTTCTTAGTCATTTCTTCCTCAGTACTTCAACTGTCCTTTCATTCTTTTATTTTTCTCTTTAATGGATGTCATGTTCTTTGGAAGCTTGTTTAGACCAAGTTAATGGCCTTTTAGGCTTCCTCCATGTGAATAGTTCACTTTTTGAATAATAAGAATTATATGTCATGGGGAGGCGGGCATCAGGGCTTTAGAGATGCTTAGGTGGGGCTATTTAGAATCATCTTTCACAGAGATCCCTTCAGAAGTCTTCCTGTTTGGGTAGCGCAGATGAAGGAAGCTGTGTGCAAGGTAGGCAGAGCATACTGTGAAACAGATGCATTTATTGAGCACCTATTATATAC